ATTTATGTAGTGGATTCGGAATTTATTCTTGGTGTCTCCCCCCTAGATTTCGTCGCCTTCTTCTGAATCGTAGTCTGTAGAAATCTTGAGGACGATCTTTCAATAAATTTAAGTTACCAAACGCCTGTTTGAATTGTTTCGCACATTGCAATCAATGGAGCAATCTCTACATAACTACGAGTGAGAACCTGCAGGAACTTGTTTTTTGTTTGCATAACCATGGCGATTAGCACCTTAAAGCAGTAATGTGCGAGCAAAATTTCTCAGGGGGTTGATTTAAAACTTTTTTCTGAAAATTCCTAGCAAATTCGAATAGTTTGAAAATCACAGGGGGGTAAACATGGTCCAGAAGTTTCAGAGGTTGGTTCAAAGAAGAATGAAAGTTGTCGGATCAAGCCCATAAATAAATATATCTCCAGGACAAAAGTTCGACTTTTCTTATAATTGAAATGTTTGGATCTACATTCTACATGCAAAATTGAGCCTAAGTTGGAATTTTTGTGGGAAAATCGAAAAAAAAGGAGATTTCTGTATCACAAATTGGGATGTGGGCACTTTCGGGAGTCACCAATTGGTCGATTTTTCGAAAGTTACACTTAGATTCATAGCAACCAAACCATAGCTGTAGAAATTACGAGCGCGAGTTAATATCGTTAATTTTATCGATATCAAATAATATTTCTCAACAACAATATTTTCAATGTTAATCAAATTTGATTCGAAATTCATTTAGTTAAAAACAATTTTAATTGAGAAGCATAACAAATTATATATCGAACAATCAATATTGTAACATCTAGATGTTCATTACCAAGCATGTCCAATATTTTAATTTAACCATTTTTGGTAATGAAAATATTGTGATATTGATTTTGAAAATGTATATAAAAGCTTTTGATAACAAACCACATCAGTTAAGTTTGTACCACGAATAAAGACAATATTCACCCTACATCTGGTTCACTTGTTTTATTTAAAACATTTTATCGTATTAGAAACATATGGTTTCTTAACTGGGGGCTCAACTGGGAAAGTTTGAAAAGATCTATTTTATTCTCATAAAATCGGCAGTTACACGTTGAGTCGAGTGTAATAATAAAATAGTGAGCTTACTTCCATGAACTTAAAAAGAGCAAATGTTTGATTAAGAGATCAAAATTTCAATAATTTTGTGAGAATCAGACGACTGGAAACAGTATAAAAATAATAAATTGTGATAAACTTGGGCGGCTGAAAAAGAGCTTATTGCAATTAACAAAGACGGAACCTTCACAGGTCAACGCTGGGAAAAACAAAAATCGGCTTCAACGTTGAAAAAAGTGATATAACATTAATAAATAAACAAAAACTGCTTAACTAGTCGATCTTTTTTTAAAATAAGGTGAGAGTTGAACGAGTGATACAACACTATAAAACATAATATATAAAGAAACACTTAGACTCAAATTTTTTTACAATTTGCACCATGGGGCGAATCACGCTAGTGAATACTAGAAAAACTAGTAAATCTAGTGCGAAGAATGACGTCACAGACGAAGCCAACTTCACACCAAAGGCCATATAATTCATATGAAAAACTACTGAGAGCCAACTTCACGCACTAGAATTTTCTAGTTTTCTAGTGAAATCTTATCAAAAACTAGATGCACTAGAATTTCGTGATTGACCCCATGATTTGCACACAGCGTCAGTAGAAATTTGAAAAGCGTTTCAATAACAAAAGTAATAAATGACTGTTCGAATCACTGGCAAAATCAAATTAACGAAGTCAATAGACAAATCAGTTCGATTTTGAGATTGCCGTAAAGTGACTTTGATTAAAATAAATAAATTCAAATAAAAAACGACGACCTTTGCAAATTCACAACGGACACGAATTTTCTTCAACAGTAACAGACTTGAAACACAAAAATGGAAAAACTTCAACAACCGAAACAAAACACCTGACTGAAATCCAGATTCACTCCATTTCATCAGAGTGCGAATTAAATACCAAATTACGAAAAGCTCATTTCGGTAACTTGACCTCAAACACAACCACAAATACAGATATAAGGCTTGCAAATCGGGGATCGTCGGTAAAAGTTGAAAACTTTTTAGCTTTGGGAAAAATTGAAAACTTCACAGATAAAGAGATCTATGGGAAAAAATCTTCCTTGTATTTTGTATTCGGTTTCGACACATTGGATAACTCGAAAACGACAAATATCTTCATACTGTTAAATTTTTGTTTATTTCCAATACGTTAACCAATAACATGAATTAAAATTAAGAGGCCAAAATTTAAAAATTCATTGATAATGTCAGACCTGACGACCCGATGTCATTAAGAAATAATGTAATTATTGTAATTCGGATAACGAGTACGACCATGCGTACGTAATGCTGACAGTAAATTTGCGCTGAATGACGATTGCATAGCTAAATCATAAATAGATTCACAGTAAAAATCACGATATAGTCCGATGGCAGTAGTAATGTGTGCATTTTGAGCTAGAATTTGACGAACCATCCGTGCATACCACCCCAGGGAGCCTGCGAATAAAAAGCATTTTCATAAATCAATTCAAATATTATCAATAATCCAAACATTACATACTGATCTTCGTTTCATCTTGTAGATCATAATCTGGGGCGATTTGCGTTGCGGTTTCATAAGTTTTCACATGCTTGAATATCTGCTTCATACTTTTTACAAAACGTTTACTCGCTCGAACCATTGCTTTAGCATTAGTTAAAGATATACCGTTGGGTTGGCCCATCGCATCTGCTGCTGCTTGTAATTCAACCATAATATTCAAGACAGCCGAATCATGATTTTTGATCAATGCTAAATGTTCGCCTCCTAAATCTATAGTTCAAATCAGAATGGTGTTAACATCATTAATGGGAATCAAATTCATAATAGTAAAATGATCAGACAACCACTATACTTACTAAATATTCCCTCAACCTCAGTAACATGCGTTTCCTCCTTGATTAAAATTTCCTCTTTGATATGCAGTTCAATAAATGCTGCAATGCAGAAATAGAGAGACGATTACGAGTCGTAAATTACAACAGAACGAAACAGAACAAAACAATTCAGTACAACACAATATATAGACCTAAAAATTACATACCGTTTAAAACATTTTGATTAAAATTGGCGTTAACCGGAACATTTTGTTGATTATAAGACATTGTAGTAAAACAAATTATATTTTATCAAAAATCTTACGATATAATGTACGTGTGTACGCGTTGATGGTAAACATAAGTAGAATGAACATATGACAGTTTGACATTTCATACACAGTGTTCACGCTCACAGCGACATCATTGTCAGTGTTGCCATTTGGCTACCATATATACATATTCGCACGTAATTGACGTCTGTGATGTTTGTTCGTCTTAATTGAAAATAAAATTGTATAAAGAAAATTCGTACAATTTTGAGACATTGCTTGGTGACTGTTATGAAATCAATCTTATATCATATCATATCAAAATTCGAAAAATTGTAAAAAAATCCAATCATAAATTCATCCCATTCAATACCATCATATAAACCGGGGGCGGTTCATTTTAAAGTGAGAGGAGAGTTAATATCGTTAATTTTATCGATATCAAATAATATTTCTCAACAACAATATTAGATGTTCATTACCAAGCATGTCCAATATTTTAATTTAACCATTTTGAATTTTTTAATGAAAATATTGTGATATTGATTTTGAAAATGTATATAAAAGCTTTTGATAACAAACCACATCAGTTAAGTTTGTACCACGAATAAAGACAATATTCACCCTATATCTGGCTCACTTGTTTTATTTAAAACATTTTATCGTATTAGAAACATATGGTTTCTTAACTCGCGCACAATATAAAGGTGTACATTGTCGGGTTATCTCTCCTATTGTTAACGTAGGCGACTTTTACACGTATTTTTAATATTTTCAAAGAAAGTCTGGAAAAAGTCGTTCAGGAAAAGGTCGTTCGGGAAATCTTCCATCATTCCCTCTTAATTATATAAACTCTGTAAAAACTAAATGAAAAATGAATACAAATATGATAACATTGTCCCAATGTTGGGTGATTGCATATAATTTACTTCGATTAAAAAATGTGATGTAAAAAATACGTATTGTATAAAAAAATATTGATCAAAGAAGCTATGATTTCTACAATTAGGCGATGTGTTAACTTAAGGCACAATTTATGTATTTAAAGAAAATTCGTTGTTCAAAAAAAAAATTGTTTTGATCTTTTTTTATATACTCAAAGAGTATGACATTCTAAGCTTGTTTTTACTCTATCACTCTAAGATCACTTTTGAAATGAGCAATTGAATGGAATAAGATTTTTCATGCTTTCTAAATATGCATATAAATTCTAAATATTGCTTCATAATTGCCCATAAGTGTACATGACAAACAATGTGTGTTGTACATTTTTATGTAGAAGGCGGGTAAATTTAAGAAGAACATTGTTTGTCAAGTGTTACATTCTTCTTCAATTTTTTTGTATTTACATTGTAAATAAAGCTTATTCTAATTTAGTTAACTTTAGAAATTGCAATTGGAATGTTGGTATTAATAAAAGAATGCCGCCGACGATATATGTGAATGACGCACCGATTCCCCAAAAAGCTGAAATGAGCAGATATATATTTTTTTTGAAAGAGTACCGCCAAAAATTCAAATCGTCATTACAATAGATAAATCGGATAAATTACCTATCGATGCAAAAATAGGTCCAAGTGCTCGAGCCAAAGCCCCAATCGATCGGAAAATGCCTAATACGACTCCTTTTTGATCATATGTACCATATTCAGATATTAAGGTTGTCATGCATGTCACCACAAATGCCGTTGCTTCAAATAAATATAATGTACGGATTTTAAATGGCAAAAAAATTAACACATAAAACAAAAGAGAATGTGAAAAAGACCAATATAACTTGAAATGTGAATTTTAAGGAACATCTGACTTCACATACTCCTTTGAGAGTAAAGGCAAGCCTTGAAACTTACAAACTGCAAACAATATCATTCCAGCGTACAAAAATTTGCTATCGTCGGCCAATCCAACCAAAATGAATGCAGGAACAATCAAATACAATCCAAATACGGCCGATGGTTTAACACATTGTGGCGGCAAACGTCGTACAACTGATCCTTGTAAAATGGCCATTACAACACCAGTGGTAACAAACATTTTGGCTTGATCGACAGAAGTATAACCCAGCTTGTGGTACATTAAGAATGTGATGGTGAACTCCAGACCCGAATATATGAATAAGTAAATAAAGTAAATAAGACCTATTTGTTTCAAACAGTATAGTTCGTTTTTCTTGAGATTCTTCACGGCGACGAAGCTATTTGGAAATAAACAAAAAGAAAATTATTCAATCGTATCTTTAGCATAATCGGCAAATTGTTATGGCATTACTTGAATATGGCACGAATATCAATGTGATCGAAGGCTTGTCGAACCGAGCCAATTACTTGTTTTGATCGCTTTTCCTATTTTTGAAAAAAAAAAGAGTAGAATTAGTTTCACCAAAAAAGTTTCTATGAGAAAATCCAAATTTTACCTTTGGTAAAGATTCGTTGAAAAATCTGTAAACAAAGAGCACATCAGCTAAACTGAGTAAAAATGCAAACGATGCTGGATACCAGAACCACATGCTGGATGTTTTATCTGTGTATATTGAGAATAAAGCACCGATCATCGGTCCAATAATGAAACCAATTGAGAATGCAATGCCGACCAATGCCATGGCTTTGCCTCGATTTTTCACATCCGATACATCAGTGATGATTGCCATACTTAGTGCAATGTTGCCTTTGCTTAAACCGCCAACAAATCGTGCCAGCACGAATAAGAAGAAATTTGACGAGAGTGCCCACAATACATACGAAAATGAGATTCCAATCTTTAAAAAAAATACATAGAAATAACATTAAAATGTTGAATTAACTAATGATTACAACTACTTACCAAACTGATGAGTAAAATTGGCTTTCTGCCATAGCAATCAGAAAGTGCGCCCATTATGGGACTTACAACAAATTGTAAAAAACTGAACATGGATCCAAGAAAACCACCAAATAATACTGAGCTGTATTTATCGGGAGCACCGACCATTTCTTGAAAATATCGAATTTGTGAGGATAATCGAATGTATAACCCGCTGCTGTCGTCATGTCGATATCGTTCAAGAATTGTTGGCAACAGCGGTAAAATTATCGTGAATGCCAGCAAATCCAATAATAGTGAAAAGAATATGTGATAAACGCCGCTGTGTGTTTTATCGTTAACTTCCTTTTTCTGATGGATGCCATTGCTTGACGTTGTTACGCTTTGAGTTTTTGTTGTGATCATATTGTCGATGTTCTATGGTTTCCTAATTCTGAAAACGGAAATAAAAAATTATTAAATAGCTCGCACAAGTACACGCACATAATAAAAACAAACTACAAAACATGTACACTGACTGAACGACCAAAATGATTTAATTTAAAAAAAGAAACGTTTTTCAATATAAAGTGTTACACGGCGTAACTTACACTTTCATAGTTGCAATTATATTAATTATTAAATGTAACACTTAATTATAAATAAATAAAAAGAAAGACACTTTTACCGAAGTAGAATATAGCCGCTAAAATAAAAAATGAACCAGTTCAATCGCTTCACGACAAATAAAATACTTTTACATTGTAAAACAGTCGGCAATTCCAATATAGAAAGTTTTTTTTTTAATTCTTCTTCTTCTGCTTCAGCTACAGTCAATAATAATGTATAAAAATGTTTGTGTTCCAATTTTCTTCAAATATCAATTTTGAATTATGATATTAGTAAATCCGACAAGTCGATCCACTTTCTCCAAATTTGTGTTTGGGAGCGCACTGATTCGTTGTCTATGCTGTTGTTTTTGTCTTCTTCTCTCTATGCCTATCGACTTTCTTTCTTAACTTCAATGTTTGACACATTAACAAGCAAAAAAAACATCAGATGTAACAGAAATTGTTAATTGTTCGTTTCGGATATTGTTTTTTTTTTTTTTAATATTGTTTCGGAAATGAAAAAAAACCTTGTAGATTGTTTTGTGAGTTGAAAGATTGGCGTGTTTCAAATGCTATATCTCAGTTTTTTATGAAAGCAAATACAATAATCATCAATATCCCTACTTATTTTGTTTGTCTCTCGTTTCTCCTTTCTCGTCTCTCTTTTTTTTTACAGAAAAACAATCTGTGTATGCATGTATAATGAATGAATAGCAAACCAAACAAACAACTCGTGGCCAAAAACCAGCTAATGAAAGACTCTCAATACACTAACACCACGAATGCATAATGTTATTTAACCGACTTTTGTTTCTCTTTCGCCTACCTTTTTGATTCGTTGATGTGTGGAAATCATGCAAACCGAAGACTGTGCACGGCATTTGTTTGTGTTTTCAAGAATTAAAGAAAGAAAGATAGAAAGAAAAAAAACAATAATATATACGATATACCGTGTGTAGTTTCGCCGAATATGTTCCATCGTGCGAGCCAGCAAGCCATAACAAAACCCGTGCTAGCAAATCATAAATGGTATATACTGTATAACATGACATTCTACCGGCCGTTCATTCGAAGCAGATCATTTGACAGATTTCTCAAAACAAACCAACACCGTTACAAAACACTTTACTTGCGCAGTGTTTTCGAATGCCTTACATACTCACATGTGAATGAAAAACAATCATTGCAAGACTGAATGTAAATTGTAATAGATCATGATACATTATTGTACCGTACAGTGTTTCGTGAATGATGAATCATCCAAAATACGAAACATCAGCCTATTGAATTGCAAGTATGTTACTCGATTAATCTTTTCTCTCTCTCTCTCTGCTTCTTTCTCTTGAAACACACATTGAAATTATTGTACTAGATGCATGTTTACTTTGACAATTTTCAAAAAAATCTGTGTGACATGACGAAATGTACACATACACAGAGAAAGAGAAACGGTGAACAATCCGTGTAGATTTCTTCATACAAAAATCAACAATGAGTTAGTTTGACGCACACACACACACATAATAACATACACTCAGACATACACAAACTGAGAGGGAGAGAGTGTGTGTGCGGAAAAGAGGTAGATAGAGAGAGAAACACATCAAAGCCATTTTCGTAAACGGAAAGTGAAATGAATGAATGTGCTTGACTATGGTATTTTGGCAGGCGGTCGAAACCAGTAGATTGTTTCATAGATCTATAGACTAAAACGTGTGTAGTTGTATGTGTGTATTTGTGTGTGATTGAGAGAGAGAGAAAGATACAGAGACATAACGGAGTGTGCGTTAGTCAAAATGGGTTTGAAAGAGAGTAAACGATGCGAATGGAAAAACGCAAAATAAAGGAGCAAAGGAAGAAAAAGAAGAAGCAAATAGTTCTGAAAGCTGGCAGCTGAACATGAAACGGTTGCTGAGGGCCAATGCCAACTTAAAGTCAATAAATTCTTATTTGTAGAGTACAAGACAACAAAAAAAAAACAAAAACACAGTGTTCACACGAAACAAAAAAAAACAAAAAAGATGTATTCTTTTTTATTTATATTTTTTTAAAATTAGATTAGTTTGTAGTGGATAAATATATTTTAGAAATTTTTTGTTTGTTGATTCGCGTCCGCTCCGTTCGTTTTTATTTACTTTTGTCTTCGACGTAAAATTTAGTGAAATGGCCTCAGTAAGGTAAATCTTCATAGCACAAAAATGTAGTTTTTAGTAAAAAAAAAAAAAAAAATAATTTGACATGAAAATTGTTGTTTAAAATATTTGTGTATTGTGTGATTGTGTGAATAATTTCGAACAGTGTATCCTTCTCAGTTTTATGAAGAAATAAAAAAAAAAACCAAATGTACATTTTTGCTCGATAAAAAACAATACAAATTTTTTTTGGGCGTGACAAAAAAATCGGCATTTATTCATTTTTGGAAACATGACCATGTTTGACATTTCTTCGAAACCAATAAAATGTGCGACAAACAACCTTATAACTTATTTATGGTAGTCTTTTTGCCATGAATTCATCGCAGTGAATTCCAGAAATCAAGAGAAAATAGGCACATGAGGATTTAATTAAATCGCATCCGTTGCGATGCGCTATAAGACAATAGCAATCGTCGGTACTTGCAGCAACATTGCCGTTGACGATGTTGCTGCCGCTACTATTGCTGTTGTCATTTGTTCGCATTTGGTAATGCCTACATACATCATCGCTCTATAATGCATTCACGTATCAGAAAAGAACTGAGCTGGTTCGATTTCGGCTCATACTCTGTTCGTTCTTCAATTACATCGGCAATGGGGTAAAGAGTGTATATTTTTTTTATGAGCACTATTTCAATTTCTTCATTTTAAATTTCTTGTCGTCATTTTGTCATTTCAAATAATCCGAAGCGAATATTCTTGATGCCATTTGCCTCTCGCTCTTGCTTCAATCTCAATTTATGCTTCTTGGACATTTTTACATATTTTGCTTTTGAATTTTATCTCAATATATGCATAAGAAAGAAAGAAAGAAAGAAAGAAATAGTGAGAGTGAGAAAGAGAGCGAGAAAGAAAGAGTATGCATAAAATGTACATTTTTCTCCGTTTATCTTTCTTCGTACATTATGCATGTGTGCCATACAATCCGTGTGCCGTATACACAAGAACTGAATCCATTGCAAAGCACTACATATGTTTCATACCAATAGCGTACAGTTTTTGTTCGCTGATCAACAGACAAAACGCGCATTAGGGAAAAAAACATATGCATCGCATGTAGTTGACAACGATGATGAAGAACGAGAGATACAGGCGAAAGGCGCACACTAAAATATTCGGAATGGAAGTTTTGTCAGTCATTTCGTAATGTGGAAGCAAAAGGAATTGCATGCACTTTATTTTGTCATTTGCCAAAATCATTCAGCGACATTTCTATTTCGTTGCAATTGTCGAACATTTAGTTTTACGAACACGATGTGATATTGAGAAGTTACGGAAATAACATTTATTTCCAAATATTTGAACAATTTTCGAAAAAAAAAAAAAAATTAAAGTGCATTTTAAGCATTTGTTTTGGTCTCGACGAAATAGTGCCAAAGTGTAATGTGTGTGTGTCGATGTGTATATGTACATAGCTAACATTTAAATTATGAGTGTTTAAAAATATAAAACAACTGATGCAATAAATTAAAATTGAAACCATTCACATTTTAAATTCGAGAAAATAGAAATTATAAATTGGAATATAAAATGCTATCACACGGGCAATCAAGGTTGTTATCATGCATTGTGCAATACATTTAACCAACAATAAAATAACTACAAGAACAACATTTTTTTCGTATCATGGCGAATTTTTTCAAATTAATTAATTTGCTTAAGTGATTTAAATGCTTCAAGGATTCACTTGTATTTTTAAACATATTTCAGAATCGAATGGGTCGAAATTATCGAACCTCGTACAAGAGAACACATGTATGCCAATCTTACGACGGGCGAATGTGTATGGGATCCGCCAGAGGTGAGGAATTGTTCATTTTTTTAAAATTAAAATCAGAATTTGGAAAATGGAACATTTATTTTTTTTAACTTAATTTGCAAATAATTTCGAATAAGAAAATGTGCTAATATTGCTATCTTTTTGCAATAAGTATGCAGTACCTTCACTTGCACCAAAGAGGAAATCAATGACAAGTGGGAATATTTTTAATTTAGTTTTTTTTTATAATTCACTAGTCGAATGTTGGAAAAAGTTTTGTACAAATTTTAAACTGAAACCATAGGTTGCATAGCTGGAGCTATCTGTAAAAAAGAGAGAATCATGTAAACGCACAATGCAATTCTTCTGCTATTGTGCGCGTATCGAGTAAGGAATTACATTGCACCGATGCATTGTAGTCGCAAAACATTCGATTATGTGATTTTTCGTCCTTGACCTTACTTGGCCGCATTTCCTTTCGACTTCCGTTACGATATATTTTCCTTTTCGACTCTATAAATTCTCTTCAGCGAAACGATTTTTTTTCCATTTGAGTTTCTTTTGCAAATAGTATCAATATCATTTGATTAATTAAAACAATTATTTTAACTGATGACATAATTCTTTTTTGTAATTTTTGCAATTGCCATTTATTGTGGTCACAGGGTGTCAATATTAAACGAACCGACGATTCACAATGGTGGGAGCTATTCGATAAAAATACGAAACGATTTTATTACTACAATGTTGCTTCACAAACAACGGCCTGGCATCGTCCAACGAATTGTGACATAATACCATTGGCCAAACTACAAACGCTCAAACAAAACACAGATCCAAATGATGCACGAGATGATTATCCAAGTTCGTCGAATTCTAAATACGGTTTAGAACGGCATGGCTACGATGATACAAATCGGCACGGTTCATCAAGCAATACATCAAATATCTTTCCACCACCGAGCGCACCTGAATCTCGAAGTGCCGATATCTTATCGCACATATCGGAACGACACAATAGCTATAGGTTTGTACCGAAAGCACTTTATACGAAGACGATGAAAATTGGCTAATGCAAAAATCAACTCATAAATTGTGTATAATTCAATCATTCAAAATTTACATAGTCGCCTCTCTCCTGGAGACTCTGCTTCCACTGGCAAAAACAAATCACATCGCTACTGTCGACACACTCAAGGTATGATGATTTTATTCCTTTTCCATTTCATTTCCATATGATGCGAATTTTTATTTTTTTCCCAAAAGGCTCAACTCCATCGCATGGCGGAAAGCTAGACTCTGGTAAGTCAAGTGATTCTAGTTTGTCGAGTAGCTATAGACATGGCCATGACAGCGGTAGCTTACGCGTAGATCAACGATCAAAACATTTAGCAGACAATACGTGAGTGTGATTGTGTATTTTGTACACTGATTATTATGTAAATAAAAAAAAACGTGTGTATTCCATGAATTTCAGTTATCGAAAAATGCAAGAAAGTTCCAGTTCGCACAGTATTCCTCATGTGGCATTATCATCAGATTCGAAAGCACCATCCATATCCTACTCAACGTCACAAACCACTGATATTAGCAGTGCACAGTCATCGAGTACCCCACAATTTAAAAAGAAGTTACTATCTGAAAGTGGCAGCCATATTGCGAAACATCAAAGTTTTGATTATGCCAAAAGTGCGTATTTTCTTTTAATTTCTGTTTAATTCTTCTATCAAACTATCGCCTGCATATTTATATTTCAATATATGAATGATTGTGTTTATTGTTTTTGTCTTTGTCCAATTGTGTTAGATTCTCCTATGGTATCGTTAGTACGATCGGGTAGTTTTATGTCAACGCCAAAACAAACAAATGTTGTTAAAAAAGGTAGCATCGATGGTAATGGTGGTGGGGCAAGTGATGATTCCATGCATGAAAAATATTTCAAGTCAGTTGAAAATACACCAGTGTCAAAACGACGCAATCAGTCTTTGTCAGCGTGTACCAATCAAAAGCATTCAAGTGATTCCAGTCCTCATAGTCCAATGAGTCCAAAGAAAAATGTACTATCCACATCAATATATTTCCCAATTTTGTTCTTCTATTTCATACTGAATTATTGACATATTTGTTTTGTATTTAAAAATGTAGACACTACGAACAACAAGACCCACTGCTCTAACTGCTACAGCTGAACCATTTCACCTATTCAAATCTAGTCAAGATAATAACAGTTTAGAGAAAAGTTCCAAACATGAACGGTAATTTAGTGCGGTAAAGAAACATTTAATTTAAAAATAATAAAAGATTACCATCCGATGTTAGGTATTTGGAGAAGATGCGTAAAGAAATGCCAAATAAAACGTCACCTTCAAATGAAGCCATTGATCATAGTACATCCGCTGTGTCAATAAGTAAAATCAATAATTTATTTAAACCATCGTCGTCAACATCAACTAATAAAAGCAGTACATCTAGTCATTACAACACAAATTCAATTGGCAAAAGTTCAACTGGCAAAGAGGTATATACATGGTAATGTGATTTCGATAACATGAACTGTTAATAAAATTTATTTTATTTCTTTAGAAATCAAATTCTCACACTCAATACATGGATCGATACAATTCATTGTCCGAAAAACAGGATCGAAAAACTTCATCGAAAAAAACGAAAAAACACCAGTCCTCAAATAGTGATGTCGATTATGTTGAATACGACAATGACAATATGTCACCATTGTACAGCAATTGGGATCAAGTAAGCCGCCAATTCATCATTTTCTACTTTTTTCATTTCAATTCATCTCTTTTACTAAAAAAAAACTCTATATTTTCCACCACAGGAAACTCATGAACACTTGCTACCATTGCAACATTATATTATCGAACAAGCAAAATTATCGGGCAGCTATCACATGGGCGATACGCTCGATTCCGATTCATTACACTCAGACAGCCAGTCAGAACATTCGTTTTCTGGTCATGAGCCAGATAATGAAGATTCAGATCATTCGGACAGTCAAGGTGACTACTTGGCACATCACTATAGCACAACTATGGATGATTACGGTGAAGTTTACTATAATGTTCACATTGGATATGAGCGAAACCAAAAACAGGACAATATGTATGCATTTTAGTTTTGTGTAGTTTTTTTCTTTATTTGAACCAATGCATTTTTCAATTTCAGATCGGAAGAAGTTGAACATCGATTAGAACGTGAATGCGGACAAATTTACAGTCCGATCAAAAATCATCCATTTTTTCAACAGCAACAACCGCAACCACAGCCCCAAAGCCAATCGTACAATTCGCATCAGAGTCATCAAAGTCAACAACAGCAGCAGCAGCTTCAACCAAAATCCCAAACACACCAAACCCAATCAAAAACCGGCACTAGCCAGTCATTACAATCGAAAAAAGATCCAAAAGGTACATTTTACTTTTGTTTGAAGCAATTGTACAAATGCAATTATTCGTTAACGTTTCGTTCTTAATTTCAGATGTTAAAAACTATCAAAAAATTCAACAACAATTCTCGCAGCCATATGCTAATCTACCAAATATTCCAAAAGCAGTTCAAAGTAAATTACCACCAACACTTCCAATTATGAAGGAATGCAATATTGAAAAGTTTGCACAGGATAACTTAAATCTACACTCAAAGGGCATATTTCGAAAAAAATCATCGATACGTGACATGCTATCGTGGACACCAGACTCGATAAGTCGCCCAATGTTAGCAGTGGCATTGTCCAGAGACAAAGCGACAAAGAAAATGGCAACGGAAATGTTCAAATTGATACAAATTTATATGGGTGATCGGAAGGCACGTGATGGAATGAGTTTAAATTCGGTTGCCATGGATATTATAACAACAGCTTTGGCACAACCACCGTTACGCGACGAACTGTATATTCAATTGTGTCGACAAACAACTGAAAATCATATTCGTGGTTCACTGATCAGAGGTTGGGAATTACTTGCAATTTGCTTGTCATTTTTACCACCATCACCTACTTTTCAACCAGCTCTTCTAAAGTATGCCACACACTTTTTGGATATTTTTTTTTTCTTTTAATAATCCAATTGGTTTTCAACTTATGTTTTCTATCTTTCAAATAGTTATATGAATCGTCATCGAGATCCAACATTTGCAACAACATTTCCGGAAGTTGGTAAATGGCCAATACATGTACAAGTATCACATTATGCAACTGTGGCCTGTCGACGACTTGAGCGAATCGGCAGCAATGGTAAAAAACAGGCCAAAAAACCAACTGAGGATGAAATTGAACAATCTAGAGTAAGTATTGAATTTAAGTAAATTTTGATTTTGATGGTGAAACATTGATTTGATTTTGAATTTGAACTAAATTATAGGAGCAAATCATTCGTAAAAGCATGTTTGGTAATACATTGGACGAAGTGATGGAATTGCAAAAAGATCGCTTTCCATATCGTAAATTGCCGTGGATTCAAGTAACACTCTCACAACAAGTAAGAATTTTTGTGCAAAAATGTGGAAACTTTCGCAAAACAACAATGTTCTACTCTTTTGAAAAAAGGTTTTACTGTTGAATGGAACTCAAACGGAAGGCATATTCCGTGTGTCAGCTGATGTCGATGAGGTTGCCTATTGGAAGGCTCGCCTGGATCGATGGGATGTCCCAGAACACAAGAGTACAATGGGTAAGCCAAATGAATTCTTTCAATCGATTGATCATGATCATTTAATTAAGCAATTTTTCTATTTTTTATAGATGCACACGCACCGGCAAGTCTATTAAAACTATGGTATCGCGAATTATACGATCCATTGATACCAGATGAATTGTATGAAGAGTGTGTAGCAACCGAAGATCCAGAAACGGCAGCGCAAATCGTGAATCGATTGCCACAACTTAATAAACTGGTATGCATATTAAAGATGAATTCATTTTTCCTCCAACGCAGATCACTCACTTCAATATTCAATTTTTCTAGGTACTAACTTATTTAGTATACTTCTTGCAACAATTTGCCCAGCCTGACATAGTGGCATCCACAAAAATGGACTCATCCAATCTGGCTATGGTGTTTGCACCAAATTGTTTACGTTGCACATCACAAGATCCAAAGGTTATATTGGAGAATGCTCGCAAAGAGATGGCATTCATGCGCACATTGATCAGTCACATGGATACCGCAAGCGTTGCGAATATGGAGTGAAGAAAAAAACAAAGCAGAAGTTATAACAATAATTGTAAAATAACAATGGCGTTGCTAAAAAAAAATGAACAAATTAAAATCATAAATAAACAATAATTGACATGAATTTTTATTGAATACACTTCCGGAAGTTCTGAATTTGGTTACTAAGAACAAAAACAAATCAATGAGTCAACAATCCATTTTTTTAATAACTAAAATCTTTATTGAATTTATTCTAATTAATTCCAAATTAATGGGAATTTTTTCGATATGAAATATCAAACGCTGTAGTAAAATTTCTATTTGTGTTCTCATTCATTTTGATATTAAAAAAAAAAACGTTTACTTAATAATTATTCAACATATCAGCTTTTGCCTTCGAAATGTTTTGGAGCATCGGCATATGTGAATTTTAAACGATATGCTTCGGCAACTAGAATGCCAATATACGAGTCATTCCAATTTTGTGTGGGTAAATTCTGAAGCAGCAACATCAATCCCTGTTGTGAATTAAAATCAAATATCAGATAATGATTGGTTAACAAATATATTTTATTTTACCTGAAATTCAGTCTCCTTGAGCAGTTGCTCTCGCCAATGCAACAAAAATGCAGCACAAACATACAATTGAAATACTGCAAAACCATCTGATTCGGCTAAATATGTGTCCCATAGACGGATGGTCGAATGTAATGGCAGTTCTCGCGTCAGAAGATTATTCATCCAACGAAATGAAAATTGTAAATAATCAACCCCATGCGATTGTAAATGATTGTGAAGAGTTCCTATTAGATTCAATAAATAAAGAAAAACACAAGCCCAGAGAGAGAGAGAGACATGTGTTCAAGAGATTTTCGATTCATCTTGTATATTCTGAAGTGGTTTGTTACTTATAACATATTAACAATAGAATAGTACTTTCACCACAAATAATACACCATTAAACGGAGAAAATGAAGAAAGAAATCATTTTTGTGTCTAAAAACAACTGTTGGCCCAAATAAGAGGTTTTGTTCAAATAATATTAACAATCGAATTGTACATTAAAAGTGTATTATTTGTTGTAAAAATATGAACAAACTATATTATTTACTCCAAAACATAAACATTCAACAAAAAAGGAATAGAAAATTTAAAAAAACGTCTAAATATGCTAAAATAAATAATACAAACCGTCAATTCGTTGTATTAATTCTTTTAATTGATTCACTTTGGCCTGTATTCCCAGCTGTGCAAATATGTAATTGTCTTGAATACAATCGAGAAATTTTGATAAGCACCAGAAAGAATCGGCTTCAATAATATTTAATTGCTCTTTTGACAGCGTATCCAATTTGAATGTATCAAGTTCAACAACTAAAATCAAAAACAATAATTACATACAACAAATAATCGAGAGTGAAACCAAGTATTTGATTTTTGTTTTGTCAAAGAAGTAGCGTTGAATTGAAGAGATGCGTGAGAAAAAAGAGAATGGATGAAGAAAAAAAAGAAGAGAAGATATCTGATTAGTTTGTTTCATAATAAGCTGGCAAACAAAATGAAATGATGCAAATAGAATATTCTATGGGTTTTTTTTTTGAGTGAAAGAATGAAAATGCATAACTAACTTAGGTCAACGGATTCCAATGCTTCTTGTAAAAATACAATAAAAAATGGTGTCACTAAATCGTTGATGCCTTGCACATAGCCAGATGCTGGATGCCGTATAGCCCAAATGAATAGAATACGTTCGAACATTTCCTGTACGAGTGTTTGCTGAAATAGTCGGATATGTGGATTCATACGTGGCATATCAATATGAATTTGACGGAATGTCTCCTGTTGCGCCTCATCCCTACTTTCAACGCGAAAATATTGTTCAACTAAATTTAAATAGTTCAGTCGTTTATGTTCTAAAATTGAATTGCGTCGTTCTAATGAAGTTGGCAAATAGCCCGAAAGTAGGCGCCATGTTACAGCACGCATTTTCTTTGGTATGCCAGACCAACTGAGCTCTTTTAAATCCCTTAAATTCAATTGTGGATCATCGAGTAATGCTTTGAATTTCTCAATTTTTGACTCATATTCCACATCACGTGACAATTGTGGTGAAAATTTTTGCAATTGTGGACGACCTGGAAACGAATTCATTTTAATTTTTTGTATTTTTGGTCGATAATCTGGCGATTCGGTGGCCATGCTGCATCCGTCCATCGATGATGTATTGTTCAAAACAGGAGCACATGCTTCTAAATTATCACTACATTCATTAGATCGTTGAGTTTTCACTTGTGAATTTCTATCAATAGTTGCCGTGGATACTGATGCAGTTGATTTTTGGGCAATGTCATCACTACACTGATGGATACCAACAAAATTTTTATGCGTTTTAATGACACTCAATGCGGCCGACTGTGAAACTTTTTTTGAAATTTTCGCATCTAGAACAAATCATTTAAAAAAAAAAAAATAGAAGAAGATAGACACATTTGTAGTTGTTGCTTTTTTTATTTGACTTTCTATAACACTTGTTTGCTTAACGTAATGAGAAGAAATACAAATGGTGTGTGTTATTTTAATTTGTTTGAAACACTTTTGCACACTTACTGCTCATTTCTGATACTATGCAAAATTCATCGTCACCAATGTCCCAGGCGTCACGCACCGAATTCTGAAAGTCTTGAAATGATGTTGAACCAATTGGACCCTTCACACTTTTCGACAATAATTTGTTTTCTTTTTTTGGACTTGGGCGACCCGGTACCAATCGACCATTATGCTTCCAAAATGAATTTTCACGACTATTTTCCATTGTTTCTCTAATAAATTTCACTTAAATAATAACACTTGTTTGTACGATAAAAACTAAATTTAATTCGATTACAAAATAAAAAGAAACTTTATAAACAACAATAATGAACGAAAAAATATTGCATCGACTTATATGTATTTGGTCACTTTTAATTTATAGGGCATTAATTGTCTTGTCATTTGTTATTGTCACAATAATACAAACGAGAAAAATCAACATATACTTTGCACATACACAAGTGCAGGCACACATTCGCTCATTCTAACACATAGCCAATATAAGCGCCCATACGTCAAAATGGTTTATAACACGAAGTTGTATGTAATTTAGTTCCATCGTTCGTCGCATGTGAACATATGATTAAAACAAAACGTTTCAAGTGATACAATCAATTTGATAAAAAAAAAAAAAAACAAGAATTGTTCGACACATTTTTTTTATAAATTCAAAACACAAGGTTGCTTCATCAATTTTACGAAACAAACATGTGGATTGAGGCCAATATTTTCTTGTAATAACTGTCTGTCATCTTTCAATATTGGCAGTATTGTCAACCATTTCAAAAAAAAAGTCGAAAAAAAGTTGTGTTTGTAGATGAAGTTTTATTCGTTGTAAAAGAATAAAGAGAATAAACCTCTTATCAGTTGTAATTTTTTGCTTCTTCTCTCAGCAATATATCCAAACTGTTTTGGTAATTGAACATCAAAATTTGAGGTAGTTTTTGTTTGTGGAAGAGAGCGAATGTTGGGAAAACCATAAAATTTATACATGAGTTTTTAATCGTTTGTATACCGAAATGAGTTCGGGAACGAAGGTGCTCTTGGATGTTGGTGATAAGTATAAGACAGTTCTCAGTGCGCTTATCCAACAGAATTACCATGTTATAAACGATGTTTATCTCGACATGTTCATTTCACATGTATCGGGGAAAAATGGAGAAGGTAATTTTGGAAACAGTTTTTATTTTATTTCGATCATCATTGAAACAAGAACAAAACCAAAACAACAATTTGACCGGCAGTAATGGTGTTTTTTGTTCATATATTTAGACTATTCAACATTGTTGACCGACCAATTTACGTTTGACTGGATCGAGAAATCGATATCAAAAATATTTGACGAGCATACGAAGAGCGTAAATGGTCTGGCTTTTACGTGTCAACTCATTGCATTGTTGACAGAAAATCCGGAACATTTTCGTCAATTGTCCGAACGAAATGTATACAAAAAGTAAGTGCACACCGTCAAATCACCTGTATTCACATATTGAATTTTCAAACGATGTTTTTAGCATAAAAAATGGCATGAATGAGGCGACAGATTTGCAAAATCCATCGGCAAAGCTGGCATTGATAACATTGTTTCAGTCAATGTTAAAACACGATGCTGGCATCGAATGGTTAAAAGCCGAACATGCATGGCAACAAGCAATCAACTATTGCATTCAGGATGAAACGATTTATGTGGTGCGCCGTGCCAAGGAATTCATAACTGAATTCTTATTTCGAATTGCAAACGATGAAAATCTATGTTTGGAAGTGATTGTCAAAATTGCTCAACCAATAAATGACAATGTTTACAATGGCATGGAAGGAACTATGGACGTATGCGTTGACAGCTGCGATTTGCAACACAAAGTCACACCATCAATCAATATAATTTGCAATGTACTTGAGAGATACATTCAGCTGAATCAGAAATCATCGATAGCGCATCACATTATAAAAACAACAAAAGGTCATTATTTAATAATTGTGAATTTCATTAACAAAAAAAAAACACGAAAATAATAATAATTCATAAATGTCGTTTGTGATTATCCCCTAGGTCAAATGAATTTATGGAAACTTACTGATATGACACATGATCGTGTACTTTTCAATCAAATTACACAATGTTTGATTTACTTGAGCTTTGCATTGTTGGTTGATAAACTGAATGAAAATAAAATCCCTGATAATAGTCCAATATCAGTGATTGATTTCAATGATTTCGGTTTGACGTTTTTAAATACATGCAAAATGTGTATTTTACGAAATCAAAACGAAACCCTGTTGAACGGTGCACGTCTGTATTATGTATTATGGAAAAGTATGGGCGATCGTGTACCCGAAGAAATTATTCTTGGCAATCAATTGACAAAATTTGAGAATCAAGTGATTCTCTTTCAAATATTACCGCTCATAAATGTTATGCACCACGGCGATAATTGCTATCCAGAACTATTGGATGATTATGTGATGAAATTATTTCACATTTCCACTGAGCACACACTGAGAATTTGTTATTCATTCCGAAATTCGGTAATCAACGGTAATGTGGATCTGTATGATATGGCGAGCAAAGCAATTCAGGGAATATTATCAATGATTCACATTTTACATCGCGATCGTGCTGTTATTGTGTTTCAAGCATTGTGTCACATCATCAAAGGAGTCGCAAGAAATGAACAATCAAATGAACTACCATTGATTGCCCGACCAAATTTTATGTCATCAGTTCTAACCGGACTCTATTCCATAGTTAAAAAATATCGCATCACATGGAAAGATTCATACGAAGCCGTTGGTCTTCTCAATTGTATGCTTTATTCGATTGAGGATCCAAACCTATCACCGAGGGTAAGAAAAAAAAATCGAAACATTGAACCATTTTTTTTTGAGAATAAAAACGATTTTTGATAATTTGTCATATATTACAGCTGGCAGTTGAAGTGCTAAAATTGGCCCAACTTTCCGTCGAACATTTTATGGCTCCGAATTTGGCATTGCTAGTTGATACTCTATCTGGTTCAGATATGCAAAAACTAGGACCAATGATTGTAAAACGTCTACATGACAGCAATTGGGAAGTTAGAGATAGTGTACTGGAATTGCTAACATCAATAGCAAACATATCAGTATATAGTGAGCAATCCGATCAAATCGAGTATTCTTCGGAATAAAGAAGGAAAGTGCTCATTTTCCATTTAAATTTTGTTTGTTTATTTTTCAGAGTTTCCGGCATTCCAAGAGCATATTTTGAGCAACGGTTTGTGTCCTCTTGTTGTAGATATAGCGAAAAACGATAGCGAATATTATGTACGCGCATCAGCATTGAACTGTATTTCAAAAATGATTCCAGTAAATCTGTTCTGGGAACAATGCTTTGCTGCCCTTGATTTGGTTGTAAGAAACTATAAATTTTATTGTTATTTCGTTAGGTTTTAGTTATATCGTTTTATTCCCATCTATTTCTAGACATACTTGATTAAAGTTATAAAAACCGAATACGAAGGTGTTGTTCGCAAAGAGTCCGTATCATTGATCACATGCATCTATGAGAATCAAAAAGTTCCGTCCAATCAATTGGATTCAATATATGAAGCGTTAGCCGTTGCTGCCACACACGATTTATTCTGGGAAGTAAAAGTGAAGGCAATTGAATTTTGGCATTGTGTCATCAGACGTCAGCTTCAATATCAGGGAGTTATCGATGGAACATTTCCGTCGGTGACGTTTTCAAAGGAAAATAAAAAAATTGTCACACTAACACAAAAAGAAATCACATTGCGATTGACAAAAGTACTGGTAAAATTGTCGACGTTTGGCTGTTTGGGTGTACTGCTAGCGAGTTTAAACGATGAAGATGATTTGTTGGTGGTAAAAAAAGGCGTCAATGTGCTTAAATCTCTCATTGAATTCCTTGATAAATACAATTACTGGATTGAGTTAGACGATAAAAACACAAACAATATAGCACGATCGCAATCAAACGATTCATCAATAAGTGCAGACACAATGAATTCTTCAAAAGACATTGATGAAGAAATGAAGGACATAACTAATGAAAAAATTGCTCCCAATGAATCGACCGATCCAAATAGCAATTCAATGAATTCAGATGATGTTATTCAAGCGATAGTTTTGGCGCAGGATATTAATCTACTGTCAAAAGCCTATGAAAATCAAATGAATGTAGAATGTGGGGCTGGTAGCGAAACATCGAGTAAATCAATCGAAGAAAATGCAGAATATTTTAGGTATTTACGCGAAATTACGCCCGAAATATTTTTGAATAAAATGAAAACAACCGACTTGAATAATGTACTACAAACGAGAACTGAATGGCTTGCCCAAACCGAAAGTTTTTCATCACTGTTGAACGATATGTCGTACTCATTGCAAGCACACGAACAACACGATGCTGACTGTTACTAAGCAATCCTTTTTTGTATTCACGATTTCTTTTTCTTTTTTAAAGAAAATAAAATAAATAGTAAAGTAAACAGAAGTAAAACGTAGTAAATTATTACTCTTTTGGAGCATACTTTCTGAGGATGAACATTTGAGAGGAGAAGGGGGTTAAATATTTAAAAAAAAAACGAATGAAAAAGTCCTCAACTTCGAGGTGAGGAAATAAGTTTCAAGGCCGATTGAGTGACTAAATTGTATTAAAAGATATCAGCTTGATTGCTCACTTGTGCCGAAAATAAAATGTTAATTAACTTAAAAAATACACATTATAGTAGAGCAAGTAAACAAATAAATTTTATTTAATGTCTGGCTGAAATAGAGAAAATATGTGAAAATTGAAAAAGAAATCTTTTCTGCTGTTCATTCAGACCTGAAAAAAATGACATCAAAAAGTTTTCGAAAGATTATAAATTATTAAGATTAACATTTTGATCGTGAAAAAAAAATTTGTTAAAAACATAATCTTTTCTTCGAGGCTTTTGAGAACAAAATGTTATTTCTATTGAGAAGTGATAACGTTTTGTTTTTGAATGAAATTGGAGAAAATAATCAAATTTTTCGTTCACTTAGTTTTCTTTTAATAAGAAAATTCAATAGAAAGTATATTCCACATGATTATTAAAGCATTCATCATAGTAATGGTCTCCTTGATCGGATGGAAGCGGCCGTACAATTTCAAAAATTGAATCGCACTGTTTTCGTGTTGCTCAATGGTTTCTCGTGATAATTTTCGAACTTCTTGAACCGACATTGAAATTAATGCAATTCCATGTTGATAAAGTGAGTCTCTTGTAAAGTTGACTTCGTCGATTGATGGTAGAAAAGTTGTTTCCGTACAAAGCAAGCACGTACACCTGAAGTGACATTGATCCTGGACTTTTGCAATCAAACTTTGATGTTGGCTGAATTCCCATAATGCAGGACTGAACAAAGTAAATGCAATTATAATTCTGAAATGAATTTTGATTTTGTAATTCTGTATATAGACACACTTACAGATACGATCGAAACAGTTGTTCATTTTTTTTAATTGGGCGGATCACTTGACCAACCAGGTAGCCATGAGCGTCTGAATAACAAAGCACGTTTGGAATGCACGAATGATTGATGTAATTGAGAATTGAAGAATTTTTCGCGATTTTTTACCATCTATATGGGAAGCTTGTATGAAAAACACGGAAGACTGCTGAAATGGCAAACGCCAAATATATACGGACCTACGACAGTGCCATTTCAGCGGTCTTCCGTGTTTTTCATACAAGCATCCCATGTAGATGGTGAAAAATCGCGAAAAATGAAAAAAATAATTAAATTTTTTTTCTTCAATTTACAAATACTTCTCAAGTTTCTGTATCACCTGGTGAAATCAGAATGAAAAAAATCGCATTCCATATCATCTGAATCACGATCTGGACTTTTTTCACTGTTTGAGTGCTCTATACCGAGTCTCCGAGAGTTTCATATAAACTTGCTATGTGATGCCTATTGAATAGTAAGCGAATACCAATCGTGATTGAATCAATAGGCGTCATTTGGCTATTGAAAGGCGAGAGAAAGTTGCAACTGTGAAAATTTTAATAAAATTTCTATTTACATTCTAATAAAAAATCTACTAAGACCTAATAATTATTAGTTGTTAGTAGCTAGTAAAATAATAATTATTACTTCTTAGTGGCTACTAAGAACTACTAAGTAATAAAATAACTTATTAGTAGAAAAATTAATACCTATGATGCATTCTTCACCGGAACAAAAGTTATTGCTGCACTTTTCGCATGTGATGAAATTTTTGAACTTTTCTAAGCAATGCGCACACCGATTTTTGCGACCTTCATACGAATGATTTGGAACAATTGAAAATGGCTTTTCGCGTAGAACTATTTGACCAATTTCAAGGTCACACTTTGTGATGACGTGACGTCCGTACACAAAATTTCTTTCGATTTTCAAACAATCTGCCACTCCGGAGAATTTTTCATGTAGTTTAAAACTCCATAGTGGTTCTCGAATAGTAAATATAGCTGGTTGAAATCTTTCATTTATCAAACGGAAGCAATTTGAATTATAACGAGCATTAAGTTTCGGCATAAGGTGTGCAGGATAGTTTGATTGTTTGGCAAGATTAATGTCAGTCAAGCAATTCAAAGGCATATTTAGCCGCATATAACACGATGAACGGTTTGCAAGTGCCAATCCCATTTCTTCGGTACCGATTTCTGCGAATGCTAAACACATGTTATATTCTTCTATTGCTTCAAAATATTTTCGCTTCGTGTAGAATACTTTGCCTCGTTCACGATGCCATTTTGCTTGATTATTATCTCTTTGGGACTGAAGTACAGTATAGTGATGGTTTTTCAACACAATTTCATGGCCTTTGATTGCAAAAATATCTACGTATAAACTTGGATTTGATGAATCTTTTTTCCATAAAATATTTAGTAATGCCGACATTTTCACGATTTTAATTTCACTTAAGCAGTTTGATATGGCAAACAGAAAAACAATTTATAGATTGCTGGCAGAACAAGTCTTCATCGATGGAATTGTATTTATGTAATGTAGTTGAATTATAAATTTACTTCAAATATGTCTTTCAAATATGAGTAAATTTACACAGACGCAGGCGACTATCACGATAATCGATTGATAATCGATACTTGATGCGATATGGATTGTATTGGTTAATGGTTCTGAATTGGTTGTTTGCGTCTGTGCAATGTAATTTAAATTTGTATAAGTCCATATATCGCAAGTAAGCAAAGTAAAGACCCGTTTTTTGCCAAATATGTCGTCGGTGTTTTTGATGCTTTTCGTTTTGTAATCGTTAAACTTCACTAAATTTTGAATAACGAATGCTTTTTATTAAATATACGAAAATTAAAAACAAGAATTAAACATATTTGTGCGCATTTGATATAATATGCGTGAAATATGAACTTAACGCTATTGTGTCGATAAGATTCGTTCCATTTTGCGAGACGTTTTCGCAATAAATAAAAATTGTTTACTGGAACACATAAAAGACTAAACAAAAGGGTCGATATTTATTTTTGCATACAAGACGTTTTTGTTGCTTAAAAATGAACGTTGAAAAGTAGTTGGTTATACCGAACGGCTATATTTATGAAAAAACCGCACTATGAAAATTGCAGAGCATTCCTTACGGTGGAATAAAACAATACATTCATTTCGCTTTACAAGGAATTGCTACAAAACAAACGCAGAAGAAATATATGAAATAAAAAACTATTGACTGCTTTTGTTCTGTTGAACTTCTTTTTTCATTTTTGTTTGCTTTTAGTTCTGAAAAAAAAAGAAATTGCTTTTCATCATACTCTTCATGTTTATTTTGTCTTTGTTTGCTTTTTTAGCAAAATCATAAATCAATTCGGTTTGAAATTCGATATCGAAACTCATCAGAAAAAGCACTTTTTCGTTTTTATAAGAAAATTTTCGTTTAAAAAAAACACAGATCGATTGAGCCATAAAATTATTTTTCAATTTACTTGCCATATTACGACTATTTTGACAGAAAACAAACGAAAAAGTTTCCTAGTGTAAAAATATTAAATTCAAACAGAAAATATTATGTGGACAAAAAAAAGGTAATTAATGATCGCGTTATTGATTTCCTATGCACATCAAAGAATTACTTTTAATTCTTTTTATGCTGACTCACATCAAATAGAAGTAATAAGTAAATGTGTTTATCGAAATTACAAAAATATCCATATGCAAACAGTTTGTTCCTAGTTTATAGTTGTTTATTTACATATTAATTACATTTTTTGCAATGGTAATCTTTAGTCAGAAAACGTATTTTGTTTTATCCAAGCATAAGTATAATTTCCAGAGAATAAGAGATAAAAATAATCACAACGGAGACATGTCTCCGATTTCAATAGAGTCTTGCATGGTGTTGCGGAGACTAAGTGAAATATGATTTCATAAATTTGTCAAGAAATTGAAAAAACTCGTTTCACTTCACTTCCATTTAAATTTAAAAAAGAAATTTTATTTTTATTATAAAGGTTTTTATTGTTTTTATTCAAATCTGTTATACAAAGGAGACTATATTTATGTAGTTTACTTAAATTTGTAAATAGTGTAACATCGTTTTTACTAATTTCTATATTTTTATAAAAATTCTGAATAATCAGTTAAAATCATGTTTAAAATATTTGTATGAATTTAATGATACATTTTATGTAGCTTTTTTGCCGATGTTAATAACCACCTATACAATTTTTTGGTTTTTTCGTATTTTTGAATATATTCTTTTTAAATTTTGCAGAAATGCAATTTTGAAATTAAGCCACTTTGAGTACCACTATAAGAACCATCGATAAATGTTATTGTTAGATCTTCATTCACTTCTTTAGCACCATATTTAAATTCTGAGGTATGGAAAATGTTCGCATAAACATTGGAGTTTTTCATTTGTATTTCCATTTGAATTTTATATGTCTTTAGAGCATAAATTTTGGGAGGCCTTCCAAAAAAATTCGAAAAATCCTTATCAAGCGTCAGTTTATCTGAGGTAAATAAAGTATTTACTGGTTCCCATGTCTTAGGATTGACTTCAAAAACATTTATAATGAGTTCTGTTCTGTTTGATACGACATTTTGTGGGTTCGAGAGATGTACAAATTCAAGTTTACCTAACAACACGTCAACGCTCGATGTAAACCATACTGATTCGTATCTTTGAACTTTTTTTTGATATACCCTTGTATCATATTCATACGTACAATCGCATATCAAATTAAATGGAGTAGTTCGTGGCTTATTGTTGAACTTAGTGGATTGGTAATTTGGAACAGCTGTTGTGCACAAAACATCCGCCAATTCATCTCGTGTAAACAAATCCTTATATTTTGGCAAGTGCCCTGCAAATTTTTCACTGGGAATTAAACCAAACCTGATGAATTGGAAACAATCGCCCAATTGCGATCTAAGATTAACTGGCTGATCATTGTATCCATTTTTTTGGCGATGATATTCAGACCACTTCATACAAGCCATAAACACATCATTTTCCTCGCACATCAATGAATCAATCATTAAAATATTTTTCAGTATAGTGTGATCACAACGAAGAAATGCCTCCGATCGGAACACTTCCAGTGGGCGAATACTGATGTTTGTTTCGCAAAATCGTTTTAAGTTGTAATTTTTCAATGATATCGCCAGTCGATAACCCCAAAACATGTTGTCATCGGTTAACTTACTTTCAAGAAATGCAGCGCACATATTCATACAATCGAGCATGTCGTACTTATCAGCAAGGCGAGCAACCTCTTCAATATTCTCCATTGTTAATGTGACCTCGGCCAGATAAAAAAACTGTAGGAATTCCTTGAACGCGCCAATGTTAGTATCAGTAATTTTCACATCGCCTTTTTCCGGTAAACTCCCAAAAAACATGGCAAAAAACACTGGATTAGCCACTGCCAGAATTATTTTATGCGCTGGAACTTTTTGATTTTCAATCAGGAAATGTACATCAGCTAAATCTGAGCTTAAATACAACTTCGACATTGATTTTGATACGAACTTATTTTCTAAAATATTATTACGCACGGACACTTTCTGGTTGCTCAATGCATTTTGTCGTAAATGCAATCTTGAAAAATCGGAAGCCATAGAATTTTCTTGATATATTTTTGGCATTTTTTGAACTTTGAGCTGTGTTGCAATTCAAATAATAAAAATAACGACCAAACGTCCGTTTATTGCGAGCTAAGACACTGGAATGATTGGCTGTGAATATTACAATCTGGAGACTGCTTTTGATTGTAAATAAGTCAATGTATTTGTGAGCATTTTACACAGAATATTAACAACTTAAACCAATTATAACTTACACATATGAAAATGTAAACGAATGTTAACATGCTCCCTTTTGTGCGATATTCTTTCCATAAAAATGTAAAAAAGTATATTATAATGCAAAGTACATGACCAACTCGGAGAAAATACAGATGTGAACAACATTGACATATAAATGATACCGTAGAATATATTCTCTTTATTTTTGTATTTTTTTTCTTTTATTTCAAATCATTTATCAATTGATAACATATAACATATTTCGCAGCCACAAAGTGGTTTGATGGAAAAATATGTGTTAAGAAAAATTATTAGAATTGGCATTTTAAACTGGCATTTTGGTTAAATTACTTTGAATTTTCACATCTGTATTTTCTCAGAGAAAGAGGCAGCGAAGTATTTAAAAAATACATCCGAAGCATCATACCCATTCTTTCTCTACGAATATGCATTTTGCAGGTAATCCCGAGTGGAAAAAAAGTGACTAAGTTACTATTGACTGTAAGTGACTATAGTTAGCTATATTCATGAATTTCAAAATGAATTGTATGGAAACAATCGACTCAGTCAGTCAGGTGACTATTTTGGAACATTTTGACTATCGGGTGACCATGATTATTGTCAACTATAATTAGCTGTTGCAGTTAACCATAGCTTACTTTAATTGATTGAAGCTAACTAAATTGCAGAGTATTGCTCAGCCTTGCTGCCATCCACAGCATATTAAAATATCTTGCTGAGAATGCGTCGTCCGTCGCATGCGAAGGTACGTAGCAGTTTTTACATCACCGCAAACAACAATGCATGCATTGTTCTCAAGGGGCAAGGCAGTACTAGATTGAATTCTTTCAATTCCAAATTAAATTCTAGTCCGTGTGTATTTTAACTCATTTACTTCAGCTTTTAGGTATTACAAGGAGAGTTTCATATAAAGTCGCTATATAGCAGCAAAATGACACTTGCGTGTATTAAGCGTGATTTGGATGATAGAGAATGTGATTTTTTCATTCTGATTGAACCAGACATTTCGTTGGCGGTTCCAATTTATGAGTCGAGTATCTCTTTTAATTGCCATGTTGATATCTTTGAGACCAAAAATCATGCCAGTAATTGAATGTAATGTTCAGTCGGTCCGACATTATCGGATATAAAAAAAGCTGTTAGAATTTTTCATGCGATTATTTCCAGTGATGGTTTTTTGCTGTCTGAATAGCGCTAGATATTCGCAGCGTCTGTCCAGCTGTGTGTGGTACAAAAAAGTGTGTTCCGCATGCGGTATGCGGTGAACGCATCGAATCAGCATCTGGGCAGCAATGCTGGACAGACGCTGCGAATATCTAGCGCTATTCAGACAGCAAAAAACCATCACTGAATATTTCTAGTAAATTTCAAGCAAAATCCATGATTTTTTCATTTGTAAAGTATTTATTGGGATTTTCTTGCATTGAACATCATCACTAACATCACTTTATCTTCAATTAAAAAATATTCCAAAGTTTTTTTATATTATTTTTCTTCATTGATTTTCATCTATAATTGTAACATCCGAAAATATACATAAAATGTTTTCGAATTAGAGATTTGAAAAAAACATTTCCATTCCATGGTTTTGCTCTCCTCTGTGTCTTTTTGACGAATTAAAAGTGACCAATTATCTTAGTCCTCAAGTGTGACGTTTTTGAATAAGTAAGACATTGATTCTTTGTTGTGGATTCTACGAATGGCTTCAGCCAACAGAACCGATATATCCACTGTTTTGATTTTGTGGCATTGCATTTTTTGAATTTCATGCGGAACGGTGTTGGTCACAACGACTTCATCAATTGGTGACTCTTCAATTAAACGTGGTGCATCCGAACTAAGCAAGCCATGTGTTGCCAACACGTATATTTTGTATGCACCACGTTCTTTCAACACTTCAGCTGCCGCAACAAAAGATGCCACATCATCGATCATATCGTCCTACAAAAAAAAACGAAGTTATTTTTAACCGATTTGGAAGATTTTTTAGAAATCGAAGTGGGAAGCAAAAAAAAATTTAAAAAAGACAATTCAGATACTTACAACCATGATTGCTATTCGACCACCAACATCACCAACGACGTTTATTGGAGGTTTCTCCTTGGCTGGATGAACTGGAACAAAGAATAAAAATAAAATTAAACATAAATCGGACCAACCCGAACGCATTTTGAATTGAAGGCAATTCATCTTCATGACTAATGCATTATCCAGTAAGTTTTTAAGGATTCTTGTATTATTAATTATTTCTTACCTGGAACTCCTACGGAAACGTCCATTGTTCTTGATCGACTAAAAAATTAAACAAACAAAAAAATAATAATGTAAGAACTTGAAAATTTTATTGCATCAATATTAACATTATGAGACAAACCATGGCAATGTGGGTGGTGAATAACGTCCGTCAATTTCATCACTTTCTGATTCCTTCTGTTCACCATGAATAACGGCAATGCCCAATCGCAAACGTTCAGCATATGATGTTGCTTTCTTAGCTGAACCGGGATTTCTGGCAACTATAACTGAATTACGATAGTCTGGGATACCTTGGAATGGAACAAATGGAAATTAATCGATAAGTGATGGAACAAGAATCGAAGAAATGGATCAGAATTGGATTAGTAATTTTTAAGTAAGCTTACTTTCTTGAATATACTGTAGTAGAAATGGCGAGGCTCGTAAATTATCCACTGGACAATCGAAAAATCCTTGTATTTCTTTTTGATGCAAATCCATAGTGATGATATGCGATAAGCCAGACTTGCACATCATCTAAGTCATTTAAAACAGAATCAAGAGATTTCACTTAATTGTAATAACCAAAAACAAATGGGCGGTGCTAACAGCATACCTTTGCCAATAATTTCGATACAATGCATCCACGTTTTCGCATTTTACATTGTTTTGAATATGGTAAATATGGAATAACACCAACAATCGATCGTGCTGATGATGTTTTGCATGCATATGCCATAATAAGAAGTTCCATTATATTGTTGTTGACGTCTCTGTAGAACATTGATCAAACGAAGTGAAAGAAAAAAAAAAAACAAAAAAAAGTTTTATAAACAATTCCAAACAATTTTCAAAATGAAAAAAAATCGTGCGATTGTTTTTTATTTACTTTGTTCCGGTTTGAATGATGTATATATCTTTTCCACGTATTGAATCGCCAATTTCGACCATTGTTTCGCGATTTGTTTTATGATAAACCGATGCACCGCCACTTTTAACACCTAGACGACTAATGTTCAGCGAAATGGAAACATCAATAAAATTTATAATTTAAAGTTGCTATGGTTTATCGTTTATGTACGCTGACAAAGAAATGTTACGCTTACCCAGCAATTAAGTTTGCCAATTCTGGATGTGAATTTCCATGTACAATAACGACATCCGACGATGGCAACGATTCCATGGTGTTCGACTTAATCTTTTTCAATGGCCGCAAATTACCAAATCTATGAATTTACAAGAGAAAAAAAACACACCAAATTAATCAAATAAGAATTTGTCTGATTCCATGTTGCCTTGCTCTAAACGAAAAAAAAACATGAACTCTTTATTAATATTGGCGAATACTTGATTTATCATGTTTTCTCCTATTTTTACGCACTTTGATATCCTATCAAATTTTGACGTATTATTCTCGATGTATTTTATTTCGTTTTTCTTATGAATTTAAAAACACATACGAATATTTACTTATTGCGATTCAGTGACATCCGTTTAGACAATTCAATAAACGATGTTAGATTGAAAATGATTTGCACCGTGTGCTCCAATGTGGGTTTGAAGAAAGAAAAATTGCATGAACACAACCTCAGCAAAAAATAGTTGAAAATTTACTAGATGACAAGATAACACACTCATACACTTACACACCACCCAAAAGTCATATGATACACGAGAAACATAAGACATTACAATGAAAACAACGCAATGGATAAATTTATGTCAACGTTCACCTCAAAATAAAAATGGCCATTGTAGCAACGCCATCTAATGTCGTTATTCGCATCAAACTTTGAAGCTTATACGCTGTTATTTTCGATTACTATTTTTGTGAGTTTATTTTTCGCTGAACTTTTCTTTCGTTGAGATTTTTTTTTCTACGAACAAACAAAATAAACAAGGTAAACAACGGTTTGAAAATCAATTTTCAATAACAATTTATTTATTTTTTCCGATCAACTTTGATGAAGCGAGAAATACACTGGTTTTGTTTAAACAATTTATTAGATTTAAGAAGAAAAAAATATACATACAGAAAAGTTTAAGAAGAAATCTCGGATTTCTGAAAACCGTATGGGGCATCAGAGAAAACTTGGTGCAATTTTGAAAATTGAAGAGAACTGTTTTTTGAAAATATCATTGTATCTTCAGTAAATTTCATGTCACAAAAAAGTGAAAAGCCAAAAGAAAGGTCATGAACTTAAAATATAGAAAGTTCATGAGAAAAAAAAATTGTTGGTCTTGGGTGCAGAATGCTGGGATTCGGAGTAATTTTAAAATGATTTATCCATTTTTATTATTACCATGTGCTGTATGTTAATTAATTTGTCTGTGATAACCTTGCAGACAATAGATGGATGTATGAATTTTCAATAAGCAATAAAAACATCTGTAAAAATAAATATGCCTTAATTTTTGTTATCATTATTATCATCTCATATTTGCCACATTGAAAAAGGCCCATGAACTTAAATTGCTTACAATTGTAATAAACATTAAATTTGTAAGTTTTTCTCCCCCATCCGTGATGAGTTATTTCTGATGAAAATTTGTTAAGGTTAAACAGCACCTTGTAGAAAGATAAGATTTCGACGATAAAATCTGTACCTTTCATGCTGAAACTTATTGTTTCATATCTCCTTATGATTTCATATGCATCAATGCGTCATTTTCTTATTAGATGGAGAATATTTCTTTTGGTGCGTGTCATGCTTCATCCCAATAAAGAGCAAGCATTAAATAAAAATGGTGAAAGAAAAACACAAGAAAATAGAAAAACAAACAACAACAACAAAAAAAAATGGAAAAGAAACCAGAGGAGAGAAATATTCATTTTTTTCGCAATCTCTACATACATTTAATACATTATGCATGAGCTTTGTTGTTTGCTTTGGGGTTGTCGTCGACACAATTTTTTTCTTCTCTTCACTGTATGTATTCATTTCACGAACTTATTCCACATCTTTCACGTCGATGTTGCTAGTTGAGCATGGCAGAGGGTAATTCACCTCAACCGTAAATGTGCCATGAAACGAATAAATATATCGTAAAGCATTTTTCAGCACGGTGGCGACATATCAAATATTCCAGCCGCAAGATGACAAAATAAGCGGTGGAAAAAAGCAAAGGTATGCTCTTGGAAAGTTGTACGTGCGATTTGGCATCAAGAGTGTTGTCGAGCATGTGGTATCTTCCTTCGCTATTGAAATTATTAAAACAAAAGAAGAAGAAGAAGAAAAAAGCAGAAGGGAAAACCAAGAAGAGAACAACAGAAATAACAACAGACAATAGGTATGTGGTGTAAGCGACTTACATCGAGGCCATCCGACGTGTAGAAAGAAACACACCCGAATGTAAATAAAATATAAATGTTCAAGGTGAAAAGTTATGAATTGTGAAAAATGATTTGTTCACAAATTGGGGAGCAGATTAAGTCGCATTTTATTCAAATAGAAAAGCAAATTTATGGCAAATGGAATTTCGGTGTATTTGTACAGCAGTAATACTGCTGCAGTATCATTTCGCCATTTCAACTTCACTTGGTCGGTATTTCAAAGTATGGAAATGACAAGTTTTTATTCAATGTTCGACGTCTTTTTGTCACTTTCTTTGAAGGGGAATATTCTTTAAGGTCATTAAGTACCTGTCGTATGGGTTTTATTTTGAGTTTATAGACGGCTGTATCATGTAATCTCGGTGATTGTTTTCCAATTTGAATGCGATGAAGAAAAAAATGCGATGAAAACACGCTGCTGTTTCACATACTTTATTGCAATGTGAATGAAGTGTGAAAGAGGTGTGGAAGAGGTAAGGAATAAACAGCTTTTATTGGGATATAATAGATCGCATTAACATCAATAATCACAACAATAACATCAACATCGTGCACAGTGCCGAGAAAAAGAGCTGCAATAAATTTATTTGCACCAAATCGAAAGAGAGAGAGAGAAAAGTTAAAGAAAACATGTGCCTCGATAGCATGTAGAATGGTGCGAGTAAAGTGTTTTTGCATGGATAACGAAAATACATGGTGCGCCAATGTTGACGACAAAACTTTTATTGAACATGGGCTGAGAAATGCGACGGCAAATACATACGGAACAAGTAAATCCAAAGGTATCAAAGTTGAGTACTTCAGTCTCGAACGATATATCGTGTGAAGCCAAAGTATAATATTAAAAAGTGTCTGTAATGTTTATAAAATGAAGGAAAAAAGAACAATTTGCGAACCAATCATTGGTTTCTCTTTATATCTACCTACCTCCAACTCCCACACCCTTTCTCTTTCTCTCTCTCTCTCTCTTTTCAATGTGGTCGATAAAGTTTTGTGCACACGTTTATTGAATTTCTATTCGCTTTTTGAAAGTGACAACAGCACAAAAGACATCTAATGATATATTTATAATGCATATAAAATCCACACTTCAAAACTGTATACCATCGTATTATGTGTGCCGGAAGGATGTTGAAAATACACTACCATCCAAAAGGATGCAGATATACATCGCAAGTAATACGATACACAAAATAAATCACCTGATTTTTCCTGTTCATATCGCTTGATGTATCATCAAGTTTTAAAATCGTTTTCGGTTTGTTTGTGATACGAATAACTCGAGCAAGGTTTTAATTATCAACTTCATTTTTTCAGATTTCTGAGCCCAATCCACAGGAATGATGTCTTTTTGTGGAAAATTTATACAAGATATTATTTTACTTGGAAATGAGGTTTTTCCTAAGAATTTTTATGGGAATCTGAAAATAATTTGACTTGTATTTTAATTAAAATCACACCGAAAAAAACATAGCCAGAACACTCGATCGACCTTGTGAATACAAGGTTAAAGTTGATATAATTCATACATAGATACATCAAGCATTACTTCCAAAGTAAATTGGCAGTGTATTTTCATTTTTTCGATGTTGCCACAGATTACTTCTTTGCTGCCAAAATATCATTACAATGTAGCCGGCAACGCTGAATTTTCATTGATATTTTATATGCATGTAACAGCGAGTACGCAATACCCAGCATATTGTTTATGTTACAGGACAGAAGTCTTCAATTCACATTAAATGCCGAACCAAATTTACTGCAATAAACAATCTTTTATAATATCTTATTCGATATTGAATATACTGAAAAATAATAAAATTTATATTGATAAATTATGACGAGGTAAAGATATTATGGAAGGAAACACATTTACTACTCGACGAAATAATCAATAAATTTGTAAAAATAAATAAATAGATATTGACTAAACCGTTGATTCGATTGAATCGTTTTCCGAAACAAAAGATATTTTCACTTATATTGAAATATTCGTCGTTGTAAAGTACCTTAACATGCAGTTGTATTTGAATTTTTCGCCCATATTGATCGAAGTGATTTATGTGAGTCTTTCACTGCAGATTTTTCATTTTCGATTTGTCATTCAACACAAGCTTTTGAACAAATATGTGCATGTGATGATGCGTTGATCTGATTGAGAGATGTACCGCAGCGACCGCGATGAAAAAAGTATTAGTATAGTAACAGCAAATGGGTGCAAAACATTAAAATGTCCTTAATAAAAAAAAAAAACAATAAATATTTTTGGGTGAATGCAAAACTGCCTCGATATATTTTTTGTGTCAATTAATACAATAGTGCAAGTAAGTGTATTGTTGAATGTGACGCGGGAACAGAATAATGAAACTGAAAAAAGTGGAAAAATATTGGCCATTGGGACAGGGGATGGTGCGTGTCTCACCGCTCGGTATGTGAGCATGGGTGTAAAGATGTGTTATTTTGGCAATTGGTCTTAAACATATGAGTGCGTTCTGCGAGACACACACAAACAGAGGCAATTTTTTTTTATTTAAATAAAATTTTAACATTAATTTATTGCATTTTAAATTTCATAGAAGCAAAAACAATTTGGATTTTGAAAAAGGCGCCAAAAAATAGTAATATTTCAAAACACTCATTTTTGATGCAAAAAAAAAAAAACAAAGATCTCCCAGGGAAATAATTAGCAGGATTTTATGGAGAAAATGAGAAAAAGGTCCTCGAAGGCCCTATAGAAAACTCAAACTCTCTATCTTGGACTAAAATCGCCCAGGAAAAATGTTTTACTGTTAATGCTTTCTCCGTTTCACATTAAGCAATACATTCAAGATATTTGTCAGCATTACATTAAATATATTTTTACATATTTGTATGTGCGTGTGCAGTATTTTATATATGTACTGTGTGTGCGGTAGTCGATGATCGGTCATTCCATTTCGTCTGTGTTATGCGAACGGATTTATTTTACATGTTTGCCATTGTACGAAAAGTTCTTTTTATTGCAGTCGTTGCCATTCCTTTTTTGTGAGCTGCCAATATTTGTCTCATTTCATCGAATATGTAGCTACGAAGTACGAAAATTTCCGCATAATATTACAAGTTGAGTAGCAAAACAATGCTGCATTTATATTTGTTATTATCATATTCCTGCAAATTATTGTTATGCACTATATTAAATACATGGAATGTATGATAATATGCGTTTTTTCTTCACTTTTAAAAATTACACACTGCGATGATTTATTCACATGGTATTGGTGGTGCTCTTCAGAATATTGTACAAATATTTGCAGTTATGTTAAATGC